GAAGTGCTGTCCGAACTTTTAAAGGATTTGTTTGCATTGAGTTTGTGATCTAAGACTTGGGTTTGAGCAAGGCAATGATACATGATGGATGATTTCTGAGCCATTGAGGTGAGTGACCTCAAACTATTTCTGAAGTTCTTTATGAACCGTTTCCTGCATTATTTACTTTTAAACTGTTTCCAAAAGTTACTTTTGAACTGTTTTCTTGCATATCATGCGTACTTGCATATGAGTGTCCCTTGGTTGCTGTAATTCTTGACTTATTGGCTTGTCATTATTAATTGAAAATGTGTTAAGTACTTTCGATGATTGTTAAAACGAGTTTTCTAGGCGAGTGTGTACTTTATCGCACTCGACCTAAATAAATATGAATTTTCAATGATTAATGATTAAATGCTAGTTGCGCATGATGTAAGCCTTTTGGCTGAACTGGCCACTGCCCTTCGTTACCGATCGACTCGAGCCAGAAGCGGACTCGGTCGGGCGATATGGTGACCCTGGGTGAATTTGGTATACTCGAGTATTACCTTGTAGTCCGGCTACGTCCGGATGGGTGGAGTCCGGCCAACGTCGGATGGGTGGAGTCCGGTCAACGTCCGGAAAAGGGGATGAACGAATAAAAAGATGAACGAGGGTTTATTTATAAAAATGAAATTTTCAAATAATTGGAGGAATAAGGGGAAATGTCAGGGGAACGAACAAATGAATAGCTCCATGTGAGCGGTATCCTTTTAATGAATATGTTACTATCGCTTTCCATTGTAAATGTTTCTTGAATTATTGATTATTGATGGTTAATGTGTTGGCTTTGTTATGAAATTTCATGTTCGGAACCTTATTGAGATTTTAGCTCATTGAGCTTTGTGGAATTACCATGTGGTGTCATTTTCTGTTTTTGTTTTACTCTCACTGTGCAAATGTTGACCTGTAACAAAATTACATTTTTACCTCCGGTTACTTATTGAACTTCTAAAACATTACAATGATTTCACTGGCTCACGAGAGCAAAAATACGTACATCTGATTTCTGAACCATGACATCAATGAAATGAATTTTTGTGAAAACTATTTGATTACTGATTTTACTGGTTACTCACTGGGCTTTTAGCTCACCCCAAAAATGTTTTATTTCCCCCCCCACAGGGCTCAAGGCGAAGGAAGGGCTTGTTGTGCTTATTCACGTGACTGGATGGCTTATATCGTGTACAGTTTAAGTTTGGATCTATTTTATGTACGAGTTGGTCTTGTATAAATATTTGAAATTGATATGGATGTAAGTATACATTCCACGATTGGAATCAGTTTCCGCTGCATTTGTGACATGTAATTATTGGAGACTTGGATGTATGTTTGTGGACCATGTGATGTATATTTGAGATTTATATTGTAATTCATTTGAGGATTGTAGTGATCGACTGAGTCCCGGCGAGAGCTGGGCAGGCGGCCCGCCGAACCCTCTGGTTCGCCTTAGGGGGAGGTGGGGCCGTCACACTGGTCTTATCCTTCGAGTGATCTGTTATCAATTATGATTTCCAGTATGTTATTCATGCAATACATAATCCTTTTTTAGTGACCAACTTCAATATTTTCTGATGACGACTTGCTCACTTTCTCACCTTAGTGGAGCCAGTTGTGCCACTTAAGTTGATGCTCCACAAGTTTTATTTAATTTTAAAATTCCATTAGCACCTAAATCTTCAAGAAAATTACTACATTTCCTCCCACTGGCTTTTGCTGGTCCTTTGTGCTTGGGAACAACTACTGGATTCAAGATGCTTTAGGTGTTTGTGGACTGCTGTTTGCTTCTGTTAAGAGTGCAGTGTGTGAAGGCATTCTAATAAACTGTCTTTTCTTTCTTGTGTGCCTAATAGCTGGACAAAAGCTATACAGACTTCCAACACCCAAATAGTGCTGATTTGATGATCCTATGGGATGAGATGATGGACGGCAAACATGCCACAGGCACCCGTGCTCAATCTTCGGCCCAACACCCACCCCAATTTGTGCCTCCTCGTGCCCGTAGACGTAGGGGTGATTCGACCCTCAAAGGCAAAGGAGTTGCTTCTAGTTCTGTCATCAACCCAGCAGATTCTAAGGGAACTTCGGATGATGATGGCAGCCCAAGTATGAGAAATCTCGGCAAGCGACCGGTGGGTAGTGCTCCACACAGTTCGGAGAATGAGGGCTCAAGAGGAACCAAGTCTCGAAAGTCGGGTTCGGAGAACTACCAAGAGGCACTGAGCAACTTCAATAGATATTCATCAATTGTTTGTACCGAAAGAGAAGCGAATGAGAAGTTATCAATTGAGGTTGCCAAACAAGCAGTTCTCGCGCTGAAGTTGGAGAAAACTGTACGCATGTATCTCTTGAAAGAATTGTTGGACAAGGAATTTCGGGCTTTATTTCTTAGCTTGGATGAGAGTGAGCAGAGGGCATGGATTGAGTTGTTCATCGTACCGAACATCGTCGTGAAGGTGCCGGGTTCCTAAGGGCCTAACTCAAACTCTGATTTAGTGCTGCTGTTTGTCTGTAATTGCTAATTCCAAATAGCTTGTTTCCCTGTGTAATTTGATTATATGTTGCTGTAACAAGTGGTGAAATTTTTATGCTCATCTTTTACCACCAGAATATTTAAGTGGCCATTTGTGTCATTTCGGATGACTGCTCGCAGGTGTTGTACCTTAAGTACTTGTCTTATATTCAGGATGTATGAGATGTCCCTTTTTCTTAACCGTTGTTAGCAGCTTAAAATCAATCATAATACATACACATCCAATCATCATGCATATGGAGGTTATGGGGAGGAGGGTTAACTGGCTAAGGCATGGCATCTTCTCTGTAGGGTCTGGATATTAGATTAAATGGGGTGATTTCCTTTTACTGCATTTGAAATTCGACCAAGTCTTGAAAGGTGAATGCGATAGGCCCTTGTTTGTTTCTTTGAGCCTCGTGGATCAGTGTAGTGAGTATGATCAAGGTGCCTGCATGAACAAATCTAAACTGCGAAAATCAATCTAGTCTTTTTGATTTGCTTGTTTGCTTTGACGTTTTAAAGAAAGGAAAAAAAATTGAAAAAGAGTTAAACAAAGCAAAGAAAAAGAGGTTGCTTCATGCAAGGACACCAGATCATCACTTAAGATACTAAAGTCACGCGTGCTATCTGAACATCTATACAAAAATCCAAAATAAAAAAGTAGATGCCTTGGGTCCCACTACACACATAGTTCAGTCCTCTTCCTCATAATTTACATCACAACCGCGCTACTCATCCCAGGAACAGAGAAAAAATATGGCCACACAAGCAAAGCTTCATATAATATGATGGGAATATGAAACAATAGGCATCTCTTTCGGGGAATAAAAATAAAAGAACTCGTTAATAGCTTCAATTTTTTTCTTGGATTCTAGAAAGTTAAGATCAAAACAACATCCCAACTTTAGATCGCCCTACAGGAGAGCTACACAAAAACAACAATTACTTTAGAATATATTCTTCATAAGCCTAAGAGACATTTTGCCATTTCTCAACAGGACGCCGAATTATTTGTAAAATTCAAAGTCAGTGTCGGGCATCTTCACATTGGCTCTATATCCCTTCTCAAAATCCTTGGGAAGTATAACGTATCGGTTCTTGCGAACTGCATGCATTCCTGTTTCTTGGCAAATAGCTACAATCTGAATAAAAGAAGTGTAGTTGAAACTACTACAATTTAAGTAAACTCTTTCCTTGTTTTATTCCTTAAATTGCCCATCGAAAGGAGCAAGAGAGACCCATTTCTTAAGCTCAATGGTGACACAGCAAATTGATTAATTGAATACGGAATGAAATTTACATTTAATCATAAAAAACAAAAAGCTAACCTCAGCAGCACTTATTTTATGTGGTCGTGAAACATAATCCTCTAAATCAACCTCATCACTCAAATTCATTTTAGCAGTGCATGAGAATGCAGCAGACCCCGTAATTGAAACATTAGCATGAGGCAGGCATTTTAAGCATACAAAGCTAACCATTCTCCACGTCTTTGCATGCCACCAACTTGCAGGGAGTGTGAGGAAAATTACTAATAGAAACATAAAGAAGAAAAATGCCTCCAATACCACCTGGAAGACGAGCCTTTTTTGACATCAAGCCAGCTTCTGTAACGCTGTTAAATCTATTCAGATGTTTTGAGGTTACTTTGACGAGCAAATGCAGCAGAAGAATTTACCTCTGCAGGGTCTGGCTTTTACCTCATGCATGTATATGCAGTAATAGAGACAACCGTTGTCAACAAAAAAAAAAAGTGGGCAATCCCACTAACATGCCTGAAATGATTTTCGCAGAAGGAAATAGTTACAGCAAATATACAGGGGAATCCAAGAAAGGCACATGCATGAATAGCTTAGGCATCTCTTTCTCTAGGACAACGTCACAGCACCATGAAAAGTGGATGCAGGCGTCCTATAAAATTCCTCAACGTTAGCTAACTCAACCCTATATATATAACCTAACACTAGCCCATATATTTCGTACACGCATGAACAGATTAAGTATCTTTTTCTCTGTTCGACATGTGAAACTAGTACAACGTTACGGCACCGTTTTAGTGGATTAAACCAATTCTTTCAAAATTCCCCAACATTAGCTAACTCAACCCCATATATATATATAGCCTACTAGTCTATATATTCACGCCACCTTCAGTTCTCATCATCAACGGCAAAACTTTGGGAATTTGTCTTCTTTGTTATTTTCTACCTTTTCTTCATAAGTGCAGAAGCATTGACGACCACCAGCACCGAAACCACATAAGGATTGGCTCCATCAGCTTTTGCCTTCCCCATCAAACTTCCAACTTTTGCTACTACAGCTACCATAAAGCTTTGTCTTGGACAGACGCTCCCCCTTCCACCGTCCGCCCCTCGGTTTCATCTTTCATTCATATGCTCTAGCACCATAGTCCTGCTACTTTTAAGACTTTAATCTGCATTTAATTAACAATTACTTTATTTTACCAATGCAGGCTTCTAGCTATTTCTCATTCATGGCAAACTTCAATCCGTACTTCGCTTCCTCCTCTTCTGCCTCACGCTCTGAAGAAGATGAAGAGATTATTCTCAATGCTGCAGCCATGCTTCTTTTTTCACCGGAAGCAGAACGTTAGGATGGGCCTCTAATAAAAATACCTTGCCGCAATTCTGATATGCCTGGTTGGAAGTGGGTTCAAGAACTAATAACAGGTCACCCACTACGTATTTTGGAGAATTGCCGTATCACTGTAGATAATTTTCTGCGGCTGTGTGATGTTCTAGTAGGCAATAACTACGTACCTCAGAATCCACACAAGCATGTCTCGATCGAGGAATCGCTAGCCATGACTTTAGTTATGCTAAGCCATAGCACGCGAACTCGTGTCGTAGCCGAAAGATTTCAACATTCAACGGAAACCATCCATAGAAATGTAGCGGAAGTGCTATTGGGGTTATGTCGATTTGCACAAAGAATTATTAAACCAAAACAAAGTGACGAAGTGCATCCAAAAATAAGATATAGCACCAAGTATTATCCTTGGTTCAAGGTAGGGAAATTGTTTTCTTGTCGTAGTAATTTTTTTCTTTTCCCCACGAGCAAATTTTTTTTTCTAAATAGCCACCGTTATTTTTAGCATCCATGCTAAGTCTGTAAAAAGAGTCTTGCAAATTTCAAGGCTCTTCATCAATAAAAATCCAGTTTCAGCATTTTCCATTGATTGAGGTAAACCGAGGACTGAAAAGAAGAAACTCCCATTAGTTCCTCTTGGTGCAACCCCACATCAGATGCTATGATGATTCAAGGCATCTTCTTAATAGTGGTGTCCGAACTAATTAATTGGTTACCTCTTTTGGAACCTACTGGATTTAACATTCATTTGATGAAACTTTGACATTTCATTGCAGGATTGTATAGGTGCTTTGGACGGCACACATATCTCAGCTACAGTTCCGGCACACAAGCAGATGGCCTACACAAATAGGCATGGGAATCAAAGCCAGAACGTGTTAGCTGTATGTGACCATGATATGCGGTTCATTTATGTCTATGCCGGATGGGAAGGCAGCGCACACGATGCACGGGTGTTAGAACATGCAATGAGAATGCACACCGATTTTCCATTTCCCCCCCAAGGTTATTCATAGTTTGGCTATTATAAATAAGATGACAAAATTCAACATATATAATCGGGTTTGACTCCCTAAGTGACAAACATTTTTTTTTTAAAGCGGAGAATTATTTGCTCATTAGTTGGGTACTAAACTTCTTTTCTTGAAAATAGGCAAGTTCTATCTCGTTGATGCAGCTTATAAGATGGTGCCGGGTTTTTTAGCACCGTTCAAGGGAGGACGTAACGTAAGAGTTGGACAAGGACGTGGTCGAGGACAAGGACCGAAAGAGCTATTTAATACTCGTCACTCCCAACTTCGTAATGTAATTGAACGATCCTTTGGTGTCCTGAAGCAACGATTTGCCTATTTAAGGGGTCCGGTTCCATATTCATATATGCAAACGCAAATCAATGTCGTTATTGCATGCTGTGCACTTCACAATTTTCTTAGGGAAATTCAGCCTTCGGATGATCACTTCATGATGTACGAGCAAGAGGACATGCAATTCGAAGGCGAGTGTGGAGCTCCTCCGTATCCACAAATTCAACCGTTGACGTCCCCCCAAGAAATAGAAGAATGGAAGGGAATGAGAGATGAAATGGCTAATCAAATGCATGCCGCATCACGAAGGCGGAGACATTAGGTGAGTGAGAATAAAAAAACTAATACCCACAGTGGTATTAGACGATGCCAGGGTACGTCTGTATGGAAAACTTCAATAAGAAGGCGTACGGTGGAAATAATCTAGCTGAATGTGTGCTACTTTTAACTGTTTGTAATCACATGGTGATAATTAGTACAAGTATTATGCAAGTCTTCACTTTCTCTTGTGAAGCTCCTCTTTGCAATAAATGAAATTTTCAGTTGAGAATTGAGTTGTTAAATTGGCATTTATAAACACATTCATTTGGAATAAAACTCCTGTTTACAGAACTTAAATTGCAATAAAACTCAGAACTTAACTTGCAATAAAGCTCCTGTTTACAGAACATATAAACTAAAATGCAGATGTCTGGAATAAAGTTCCTGTTCGGACAACTTAAATAGGCAATTATAAGCAAATTCCAGAAGTCCTGCGCAATAACAGATAGCCATGTTCAGCTTGCAAATTTGGAGACATCTCAGATTACTTAATGGTACAATCCCACGTTAGTGCTTATTTCTCCATGCAGGACTAGTGGGCCTGCAGCAAATTTTAGGAATCCCAGCCATCCTTCTGCTCACAATCGAAGTTCACAGCGGGTTGCTTCACGAGAGAAAAACTGAAAGTTCACGAGAGAAAATCTCACGTGGCAGCCGGAATTCCTCCCCAGTCGTGAGCAAAATGTCCTCGTCAGCAATTCTCACCTGGCCCATGCTGAATAGGATTATTTCATGGTCCAAACAATTATTTCAGCTATGTCTCCTAATTTGACATGAAGGCCAATAATATTTGAAATAATATTTCAAATATCACCTATCCAAACACTTCCAATGTAAACTGTGACCTGCAAGAAAGAAAAAGAAATGAAACAAGAACAAAAATCTGCAAAACCAATTTAAAAATGATCTGTATCCAACCCGGTAAGGCCCACGGCTCATTCCCCAATCATTCCCCAAAAAGGCAAAGCAAAACAAAACAAAACAAGAAAGAAAAGGAGAAAAAAAAAGGAAAAAGAAAAAAATCCACGTGCCCCTCTGATCGTTTCCCGCCACATCGCACCACTTCTCCCTCGGTTTCCCGCCAAATCCCAAGCCCTTGAGTCGAGCAAAGGAAAAACCAGAAGCGCTCTCTCTCACCCATTCTCTCCCTATCTCCAGAAAAGAATACACGCAGTCACACAGTAGAGAGGAGGGCAAAGGAGCGGCAATGGATCTCAGCGAGGAAGTTAGGGCGACGAACAAGCGCGCCTTCCTCAAATTCTTCGACCAAAGCGTAATCTTTTCTTCTCAAACTTGTGACCAAAAAAAAAATCGCTTATTTCTGTGTAATGTCAATTCATGGATTGATTTGTTTCAGGAACTGAGTATCGAGTTGAAGAAGGACATTAACACTATGATTAACAGACAAGAGCGCCGTTTGATTATCAAGCTCTCTCATCTGTATAACCACAGGGAAGGGGCTGACCTCGCTCGCAGGTTTTTATATTCTCAGATGCCGTTTCTTCACCTATCGATTCTTCAGTCTTTTCTGTATTTCCAATTTCATTTTGTTTTTAGCCTTTCTTTTGAGATTTTTAAAATGCCGTTGTAAGTAAAAAAGAGAGATTGAAAAAAGATATCAGATATTTCTGTGAAAGCGGAATATTTGAAAAACATTTTGTTTACTCTCTCTGTCTCTCTCTCTCTCTCTCTCTCTGAACTTTCATCAGCAAATTGATATTTTATTTTAAAATGAAATGAAATATTTTGACACTCAGTTCCTACTAATTTGATTTCTAAGACACATTAAGTCCAAATGTTGTGAAAAATTCCACCAAGAAATGTAATTGTTTAATCTGAAAATGAATCTTTTGACGGATGAATATTTGGTATGTAGCAGTAAATGCCATCAAAAAGTGTTATATATTGGCTGTAATTACCGAAGTTGTTTTCAATTGGATATTCATTAAAAGATGTGACAATAGAAACAGATGGTGAAGGACTGGAAGAAAAAGGAATAAGATGATGCATGATTTTAGGAGAGACATGTAGTTTCCTTTTAGGCAGTTTTGTACAGGAGGAGAATGTTGTTAGAAACCTTTTCTTTTTAATATATAGAAGGTGATCCGGAAGCATAGCATGAAATTGTACAACTTTGTTGCCTGTCTGTTTAACTTTGGGGCTTATTGAAGGAGTCTCATTTTTCCATTTTTCTTGGAATTGATAGGCTTCTCCAGAACCCAAGCGAGTATATGCAACCACTATGTGATGCAATGACAGAGATGGTTCGAAGCTGTGATGCAAAGTATTTGAAGGAAGGGGAGCAAGTCCTTGTTGGGCTTGATGGTCCTTTTGTTTCACGCAGAGTGACCCCAAGAGACCTCTTGTCAGGCTTCATTGGTTCCATAGTGTGTGTTGAGGGAATTGTTACCAAATGTACTTTCTTGCCCTTTCATCTACATAAATGATACTCTAGTCTAATGTATTGTTTAGTCTATTCTGCTCCTTCCTTGTTTGAGCTCACTAGTGCACAGTGTCATAAAGTGAACGTTTGGTGTTTGACTTGGAAACTGAGTCTACGGCTGTTCATATTTTAGGTCTAATTCCACAGTTAAAGTGCAATCCAGGGAGCATCTGCATTTAAGTTATCTAGTATGAAGCTGAGAATTAAACATAGTTTTTATCACTTAAAGTTTTATCTCTAATTGCAATTCTCAGTTATGTGCTCCAATCTTTTAAAATGATGTGCAACAATGCAGTGTGGGTTATATTGGATTTTCAACCTTCTTCATATTGTTCAGGTAAAATCTACATGCACGTGGGATTAAAGCTTGAATTCACAGAATGTGTGTCAAAGTAAGGTGGTTAACATATGCATCATAGGACCTTAATGGAAGCACATGATTTCTTTTTCTTTTCCCCTTCCCATTCATGATACATGAGTTTTGAATTTGGATGCAATGTGGTTCCTTGTGCTATTGCTGTTAGTGCACATATTCTTTGATCTTCTCTTACAAATTTCCTGTCTTTGTCTGTCTGTGCCTCTCTCCCTTTCTCAATTAGGCCATAAAAATCGTTGTACAAATATTAAATTTAAGTTTAGGCTTTTTCGGCATCTTATGGCTATAAAACTGATTTTGACATTTTGGCTACTCTTACATTGATACTGAACCATTTCATGCTCATATCTATGTGTCTAAATCTGTGATTTTGCTTGATATCTACTTGGTATATTTAGGTTCTCTTGTGAGACCAAAGGTTGTCAAGAGTGTTCACTTCTGCCCTGAGACAGGGAAGTTCACAACCCGTGAGTATAGAGATATAACATCCAATATGGGATTGCCAACAGGTTCTGTGTATCCAACGCGGGTAATCTTGAGCTTCTCAGTACAATTACCTCATTTCATTTTTTTCCACAAAACAAAGCCTTTCTAAGAATGACTATGATTTAGGATGATCAAGGCAAATTATTGGTGACTGAGTATGGGCTGTGCACATATAAAGACCACCAGACATTATCAATGCAAGAAGTACCTGAAAACTCTGCTCCTGGTCAACTACCACGGACAGTGGATGTTATTTTAGAGGATGACTTAGTGGATAAGTGCAAGCCTGGAGATCGTGTGGCTATTGTTGGGATATACAAAGCACTTGCTGGAAAGAGCAAGGGGAATGTGAATGGGGTTTTCAGGTTAGTACAGTGATTTTACTGGCTAGGTTTTCTTGCTTGACCTCTCAGGCAAGTCTGCTGTAAATACGAAGCTTGATCCAGATTCTTTCATGCAGGACTGTTCTTATAGCGAACTCTGTCTTTCCTCTCAACAAATCCACAACGGCGACACAATTTGGAAATAAAGACCGAGATAATATCTTAAAGATATCTAAAAGAGATGATGTCTTTGACTTACTTGCCAATTCTCTTGCACCATCTATATACGGTCATACATGGATAAAGAAGTCATTGGTTCTTTTGATGCTTGGTGGAAGTGAAAAGAATTTAAAAAATGGTACTCATTTGCGGGGGTAAGTTATTACTTGAGTCCTTTATATTTAGTTTAATTTTAGATGTTCTGAGTTCTGCTTTTGGTCATGTGGATCTTCTCATACTTTTCCTTTTCTCCATTTTCTATTCCCAACTCAGCACCTTGTCCAATGTCTTTCCTTATTACCACCCAGAGAAACTCTTTACAGCTCAAGTTGTTGAACTACAGTTAGTTTTAAGTCCTCAGTCTGGTTTAATGCTCTTTGATAGTGATATAAACATGATGATGGTTGGGGATCCTTCTGTTGCCAAGTCCCAGCTGCTAAGAGCAATCTTGAATATTGCACCTTTAGCTATATCAACCACTGGTCGAGGTTCTTCAGGAGTTGGCTTGACAGCTGCAGTTACTTCTGATCAAGAAACAGGTAATACACTCTTATGGTATCATTAACGTTATAAACTAACTATAGTGAATATTTATCAAATTGGTGAGATTGTCATTAGGAGAAAGAAGGCTAGAGGCTGGTGCTATGGTTCTTGCTGATAGAGGAGTTGTTTGTATTGACGAATTTGACAAAATGAATGACCAAGATCGTGTAGCTATACATGAAGTCATGGAGCAGCAAACTGTAACAATTGCTAAAGCTGGAATTCATGCATCCTTGAATGCCCGGTGCAGTGTTGTAGCAGCTGCAAATCCCATATATGGAACAGTAAGATGCAGAATCTATGTTCCTTGAAAAATTGTACTTTCATGTCCATTCCTTTCATTTATTGACTGCATGTTATTCTTGTTATGTACAGTATGACCGCTCGCTAACCCCAACAAAGAATATTGGTCTCCCAGATTCTTTGCTTTCTCGTTTTGATTTACTGTTCATTGTTTTGGATCAAATGGACCCTGGTATAGACCGTCAAATTTCAGAACATGTCTTGCGGATGCATAGGTTTCGTTCCACTATGGATGGAGGTAAGGGAATAGTAGCTTCTTTACTGAAATATAGGTAACTTCATCTTTGTGCTTGGATGGCTGAAAGTGA